ATCATGAGAAACCTTTGAAGAATCATGAGAAACCTTTGAAGAATCATGAGAAACCTTTGAAGGATCTTGCAAAAGTAATTCAGGACCATTATTTTTATTTTCCTCATGTTCCCAACCTTCTCATCCATAAAGCTGCTGTTTCTGGTAGTTTTCTCTGTTTTTGACATTATTGGTCAAAAACAGCCAAYTATTTGATAAATGCTGAATATTTGTGCTCATTAAGTCTGTCCTAAACCAAAGGCTTAAACTCAGAGTAATCATTAGAAGTGTCTCTGCCACACAGTTTGATTCAAGATGGCCGACACAAAGATGGACATTTGGTTTGTCCTCAGCACCGACTCTGAGTGCTAACATCCTCCAGTATCAAATTTCACAATCTGTAGTTCTCACAGAGTCAACCACCTCTGGTCTGTTAGCAAAATATCAGCAATCGTTTAGAATGTCTGAAACTTAAAGTGCAGAAACAGTTAAAATGTGGTGAATCTAAAACACAAAGTGAGTTCTGACAGCTGAACGACAACAAGCAGCTTCAGAGTTCCCTCAGGACCTCGTCCTCCTGGAGCCGAGGGATCTGGTTACAGCATCGTTTTTACAGATTATTACTGCAACAGCAGCAGAACCTGCTTCAGCCCTTCACAATAAGAGCCTCAAACATGCACTCTTTTAAAATAACACAGAGCTTTCTGTAAACTCATCACATCCATTCACATTCTTTCAAAGATGGTGTTTTTTTTTATTTAAACTCAAATACAATTTAAACTTCTCAACATTTCAACTTTATTCTTTAAACTCAGAAACAAATAAAAAAATCTTCCTGAACTGTTTATTTTATTTTATTTTATTTTATTTCTTCAAGTAGCTCAAATGTTCTGATAAGTTTCTGGTGTTTAAAACCAGAAACCTGTAGATGGATGATAGTTTTGTACATTTAATATTTACCCGACAGTTTGAAGGCATTAATTTTACGTCACACTAACGAACTGTTTCAAACGCCCTCCCTGTTTTTTTCAGTTTAAAGGATTCGTTTGGTTTCACCTGTCCACGGCAGCTAACCATGTCTCAGTTTCAGGATCAGATGAAGTTTAAAAGAAACCGTTTCACCCAGAAAAGCACAACGTGATTCAGCTCAGCTACCACCACACCAAACTTTAGCTCCACACCTGGAAAACTGACCCCAGGTCACTTCCTGTCGGCCATCTTGAATTGGGTTCACTCCAAGTTTTAATCAGTTGGAGAAAATTATTTTCTACAACTCACCCAGTGGTTTGAGATATTTTGCTAACAGAGACGCAGGTAAAATCTGCCCTCAGTGGGAGCTGGGTGCCAAAATAAAAGCCCTGAAAAAATATAAAAATCTCATCTGAACCTAATATTTATACAGATTTAAARCCTTTTAGTTTATTTATTCTGAAATATTTATGAATAATGTCATTCCTGCAGCAAACTCATCCAGTTGCTTTCCCTTTCACAATAAAAGCACAGACTGTTTAATTCACCGGTGGATAAGCTGACTTATATTAATTTTTATAAAAAAAATTTTAGTTCTGGTTCTGACATGACAACATGGCCCACATGGAGGTTCAGGCAGACCTGTTGGGACTGATGCCTTTAGCTGATGAGAGGAGGACTTCCTGTCCTCTCTTCTTCTGTGGTGCTACTTTACCGAGCTGTTGGAGGTGGGCCGTGGCGCCGTCCAAAGTTTTGGGTCAACGTGAAGAAAGCAGGATGTTTCAGATGAGCTGGTTTTAGTTCCTGCTGCGTTTTTTTTTTAATTTAAAGACGTGAAGGGTGGTTTATTAGTTTATTCCTCTAAAGATGCAAAAATATTCTTTAAATGTTGAAACGCTTCATCTGAAACTTCCTGTGTTTTGGGGATTGGATCATCCCAGATTAAATGAAAAGCCCATGAYTATCACCCGTCACCTCTGCTGCCAGAGCTGTTTTAGTCAAACCTGAGATCTCACCAGTGCCTGTGACATTCATTCATGAAATACAACAAGTCAAAGAAAATCTGTGAGCCGTCGCATCAAAACCAGGATTAAGTCCAAAAGTGGAGAAACAGGCAGATACAGGGTTTGGATTTAAACATGCAAAAATATCTTATCAATATCTTATCAATGTATCATTTGAATGAAGTGTCTGAAATATAATCATAAAATACATTTTTGAAGCATTTTTTTTTAGCAGCAGCAACAAAAAAAAACTGATTTTGAGGAAAAACGCCTTAAATTTTTTAATTTTTCCCTGTGAGTTAGCAATGTTTTGGTTTCTTTCCAACTGGAATATCTTAA